GGAGTTATTCTTGTTACTGAATATAATCTTTGTAGCATGACTATGCAGGAAAAGGTTTTAAAGCATTTGCAAAATTGTATTATTTTTGTACCATATAGTTATGCAAAACTTGGTAATCTATTATTGACTTGTTAAACATATTTTTTACTATTTTTTTATGTAGTTTTTGTGGTTGCAGTTTTTTAAAATTTGAATTTTGTTGTAAAAAATTTTAATCCATTTAAATCAAATTTTTAATGTATTTTATATATACTGAATGTTTTTTTTTCCTTAAAATTCTTTAAATGCAAGAATCAAATAAATTGGTGTAATCGTCAACTTAGTCTCAGCCCAGCCAAAACACTTCAGTTTTGGATGGATACTGCTGTAAGGTCCTAAGGCAACATTTCTGTTTCTGAAACAATCAAACATTTTTCAGAAGCCAAATGCTGGTTGCATCCCTCATATTGAACTGAGCGTCACAATTTCTCCTGGCGGAGTTACCGTTGTAACTGAAGAAGCTTACAGGACTAGACTAGGCCTTTAAATGTGATGCTTCCAAAATGCACTAAAACCTTGATCAATGGACGAACAAAGCACACAGCATTTACTTTCCGTTACCTTCTTCAACGGATGAGGTTCATCATTCAGTACAGGTGTTCTCAATAAGCCTGATTTTTTTTTTTTTTTTTTTTAGTTTTATATATGTATTTTCTGCAGCCCTCTATCACCATGACAACAGTAGTAATGGTAATGATATTGCTGCAAAGCAAGAAAGTTTACACTAATCCTAGAAAGATAAAGTTTAAAGGCTTTTTTAATCATCACTGAAATTTTAGGCTTTTGTTTATGTCTGAGGTGATTTCTCTTCATACAAGTCTATAGGGAAACAAAAGTGGCATGAAGCAGTTCAAATGCAAATCAGAAGCAGGTCAACTGCAGGACAAATGCCCTTGTCAGTGAGTCAGAAGTATCTCAAACTGGGGCTGCATTTGCTCGTTCTTCCTTTTGTTTTGGACAGAGTAGAGAATTCTAACCCTTCAAACTCTATCCAAAACTACAAAAAAAATAGCAGGCTTTTGATACGCTTTCAAGTTGTTGTAAAGGACTAAAGGTTTTTTACCTTCATGCATTCTATGCATGAAGGTAAAAAACCTTCCATGTGCAGTCCCCCTAATACTTGCCTGAGCCCCATCTCGATCCAGCAATGTGCACGGGAGCCTTGGCTCTCCTGAGTTTCTCTCTCTCGCCTCATTAGGTGAGACACAGCAGTGGGAGCCATTGACTCCCACTGCTGTCAGTCTTAGACACAATGAGCTGGGCTCAGGAACAAGCATGCACAAGTGCCTCCAGAGCAAGCGGCTTGGGGCACTCAGCAGGGGAGAGGGACTAGGAGCATCGGCGGGGCATCCAAGAAGTGGCCTGCTCTGTGCAAAACCATGGCACAGAGCAGATTAGTATAACATGTTTGTTTTGAAAAAAAAAAAAAAAGTTGAATATCACTTGATAACTGATGTGGCTATAGTGAACTGCAAACTGATTTGCAGCTAAGGGTCCCTGAAAATCTATCCACGATCTGCTGCCCACGTGCTGCAGGTCAGGTCCTGTGCCGCCATCCATCCACCAGCCTCTTGGGATACATGAGTATATCCCAGGAAGCTTTAGCATCAAGTTTGTCATTTAGTAAAATACTTAAAAACAGAAGTTAACCCCTTCACGCCGGCCGCACAGAAATGTGCAGCCTCCCGGCGTCTGGGCCTAGATGCTGAGTGGCCGCACATTTGCGTTCATGTAACAAAAAAACGTGCTGAGAGCGTGCGTGCGCCCTACACGCTCCCAGCACACATGTCTGGCGTGATGACGTGTTATGGCGGTCACATGATCCCTAAACCATGCCCCGCCTCCCGGCATCTGAAACTCTTAAAGGGCCGGGAGGCGCCGGTGGGAAGGGGTTAAGAAGCAAACAAAATGGTATTTAATATTTTGCAGAGTATGGGTTGCAGGGAGGAAAAACCTTTTGGGACTGAAAGTCCGCTTTTGGTACAAACTGCAGAAATGCATGTGTATGCCGTGAGAAAGTAATAAGAGGGAGAATTCTTTTAACTTATTAAATTGTTAAATGGCTAGATCAAGTGTTTGTCATTTCTAGTGCCCTGTATTAAAGCTGCAACATTATGAAGCAATTTTCTTTTTTGCCAGGTGTCTATAAAGTAACTTTATTATTCATGATATAAATATTGTTCGCTTTTGCATTAAGTACTCTATGCGTAATCTGCTGCTTCCATGGTTTCCAGTTTGATCATATTAATATATACATATTTCAATAGTATGCATGGGTTACACATTGTGGATAATCAGTTGTCTTTTCCTTTAACAGGGCATGTCATGTTTAAGTATTTATTGATCCTTACTGAAAAAGGCCTTCTGTTATTTGAAAGATGGCTCTGTGCTTTACCTTTTATACAAAAGCCAGGGTTTGTGTCAATGTGCAAAATACTTTATCCCAAAGCAATCCCTCCTTTACAGTTTACTTGGGTGACTACAGTAAACTAATATGTGTTTCCTTTACTTTGTGATGTCTTATTGAAGCCCGTATGTGTCTTTTTATGTTTTATATTCTTTAGATATATAACATATATCATCTTTGTAGCATGACAATACAGGACGAGGTTTAGCAGAATTGCATTGTTTTGTACCTTAAGTTCATTCAAAACTTTGTAAATATTGTCTTATTTTGATTTTTTAAAAATAGTTTTTGTGGTTGAATATATATAGTGGAATTTTGTAGTTTTTTTTGTAGAAGAGATCTTGAGGTATATCTCTAGACAAAACCTTTTTAAAATTTTAGTTTTGGGTAGAGTAGGGAAGGTTAGATCCTTTTTTCATGTTTTAATTGCTCCACCCATGTGTTTACACTGGTGACCATTGTCATCTAACAAGAAAGTCAGGGAATAATGAAAAACTTTAGAGTTGTCCTCAAAAGAAGAGGAAATCTTCCAATGGGGACAACTGTCTTAGGCCTCATTCACATGGCTGTAACACACCCGTAAAATCTTTACTGATCATTGTGCAAGGAAAAAAAAAGGCTCCTGTGTAATAATGTGTAAAAATGGTCTCATTCTTTTCTTTTTTTTCTAATGGTATACAGTACATGTATACACGTCCTCAGATGCAGATTGTTGGATTATTTGTTAAAAAAACAAAAGGCAGTGCATTTTTACGCACGTGTGAATGCCTCCATTGAAAACCATGCAGCTGCATTCAGATCTGTAAATAAAAATAGTTGTAAATGTTTGGGGTTTTTTTGTTTTGTTTTTACCACCATGTGAAGGAGGCCTTAAAGAGGAATTCCATTCACTTTGGGAGATTTCCTCTAACTTCCTCTGGGATGGGAAGAGAATGCAATTTCCCCAGTGGTACCCTTTCCTACTAGGCCAAAACCTTTTATTTTTTTTTTTTAGCTTTGGGCAATACATACACTTTAATAATCCATTTATATAAAATATTTTATGTGTTTATAGATATTCAGCTGGGTTTATTATTGAATTCCATGCTTAAAAAAATGTTTTCTGTACAAAAGTGACTCAGTGGGGGTTATTTACTAAAACTGGTTCACTCTGAATCTCGTACACGTATGCATAGAAACCAATCCGCTTCCAGGTTTTATTGTCAAGGTTTAACTGAACAAGCTGAGGTTAGAAACTGATTGACTACCATGCACAGCTGCACCAGATTCTGAGTGAACCAGCTTTAGTAAATAAACCTCAATGTGATCATCAACTTAAAGGCTCACTCCATCCAAAATGAAATACTGAAAGGTTTCTTGTATCTTTTGTGAATTCGGTGGCAAGAACTTTTGGATTTGAATTTGCAGCTTCGCTCACGTTCCTCATCCATTTTGGGTGTTGTAACTCTTAGTGTTGAATTCCCCATTCATTTTGCTTTGTAGACTGTAGACCCTTTGCTTTGCGTTGTACTTGCCATGGAATATGGACAGGGCCAGGACCTCAGGAAAGGAGAATCAAACCACAGGGGTCACCAAGAGACAAACAGATACAGATTCAACAACCAACAACAAGAAGTTTTTATGGATGAACATGGCCTTTTATTTTTATAAAATCTAAAAGCTTTCCTGAAAATGATTCAGAAATGCCAGAGAATATTTTGGATGTTTCTATGGCAACTACTGGTACATTTCACAATCAGACTCTGTACATCTGAAGTGGCAAGTATGTATGTCAAACTTGTACTGAGATACAAAGCAGCACAAACAGATTGGAAGGGTATTTCTACTATTCTCAGAGCTAGGAGAACTAAAATGACAGCAAATAAAGATTCATTGATTTACTCTTTCTGCCACAGTCGTGTGCAACTGCATGTACAGAGAAAATGTTTTTTCATGTAAACACTTATTTTGTATCTTAACCACTTCCTGTCCGGACACTTTTACCCCCTTCCTGTCCAGGGCAATATTCAGCTTTCAGCACTATCACACTTTGACAATTGCGTGGTCATGCAACACTGTACCCATATGATTTTTTTACCATTTTTTTGAGACAGATAAAACTTTATTTTGGTGGTATTATTCACCGCTGGGATTTTTATTTTTTTGCTATGTAAATGAAAGTCCAAACATTTTGAAAAAAAGTGTTTTTCTTATAAAATTTTGCAAATAAATAATATTTCATCATAAATCTTGGCCAAAATTTATTCCGTTATCTTTTTAGTAAAAAAAAAAAGCCAAATTCGTTTAAAACCAAAAATTATAATTTTTAAACATTTTTTTTTTACATTTTTATTTTATTTTTTTATATTATTATTTTTTTTTTTTAACATACTGTAACCCTAGCAGTACAGTGTCTCCATGGTGATGCTGTACTACTTGTGGGGGGTCATGAAGATTTTTTTTTTTACACTGATTGCTTTTACACCCATATAGGATGTAAAAGCAATCATTTCTCCTTCTCTCTGTCTGCATTCTTGCAGCCATTGAGAACTACTGAGTGAGCTGTGATTGGTCACAGCTTGTCACATGGTACAAGGCTGTTGTGAATAGCCTTGTACCATGTGACCTCTGTGATCATTCACAGATTTCACACGTAGTAAGCAATGATGTCACAAGTGACATCTTGCTTACTACTTTGCATGTGATCACTGATTGGCCAATCAGCGATCACATGATCGGGACCTCATACAGAGGTACCGTCCGATCGGTGTTTCACTGTGTCAGGAGGACACAGCGGGCACCGGATCGCGGTGCTGCACGCTCCCAGGGAGCGTGCACAAGCCAGGTGTGGGGAGGCCGTTTATAAATGGCCACTTGACCCTGCAGTGCCACCGTCCAGCCATTTATATACAACGGCCGGACGGGAGGTGGTTAAATAATGCTATTAATTGCATTCCATTGGCATAAGTTTAAACATACTATTACCCTGTAGATTTAAGTTATTCACTGATCTACTTTTCTTACTGTGCCAATTTAATTACCCTACTTTGCCTTTACATGTGTAGCCTGATTGTCAATGTACTGTCTACTGTACAGTAATGCCTAGTACACGCTATAAGAAAATCAGATGAAAAATACAGCTTTTGAAACGATCGTCCAATAACCTGATCCTTGGTACCCAGCTTTTGAGCGTAGATCACGACAGTTCATGCAAAAATTTCCAAAGAGATCAGCACGAAAATTTTCCTTGTTCAATACCAAAACAAATGATTTTCGTTTAACCACTTCCCGTCCTGCCCATGTACATAAATGGCCGGACGGGAGCAGTGCTGGAGCGGGTGGCCTTTTATAAATGGCCCCTGCATTCCCTGCCTGTGCGCACTTCCTGGAAGTGAGCGGCACCACGATCCGATGCCGATCGCTGTTCAAGACCTCTGTGTCACATTAACAGTAGTAAACAAGATGTCACTTTCTGACATCATTGCTTACTACTTGTGAAATCTGTGAATGATCACAGAGGTCACATGGTACAAGGCTATTCACAACAGCCTTGTACCATGTGACAAGCTGTGACCAATCACAGCTCTCACAGTATTTCTCAATGACTGCAAGAATGCAGCCAGAGAGAAGGAGAAATGATTGCTTTTACAGCCTTTATGGGTTATTATAAAAATATTATAAAAACATTTTGAAAAATTATAATTTTTGGTTATAAACTAAGTTGAGGTTTTTTTTGTTTTTTTACTAAAAAGACGGATGAATACATTTTGGCCAAGATTTATGAAAAAGATTATTTATTTGCAAAATTTTGTAAGAAAAACACTTTTTCAAAATGTTTGAACTTTTTCATTTATATAGCAAAAAAATAAAAATCCCAGCGGTGAATAAATACCACCAAAATAAAGTTTTATCTGTCTAAAAAAAAATCCTAAAAAAATTTTGTGTGTATAGTGTTGCATGACTGCGCAATTGTCATTCAAAGTGTGATAGCGCTGAAAGCTGAAAATTGGCCCAGACAGGAAGGGGGTGAACATGTCCGGACTTGGAGTGGTTAATCAGTACAATATTTGTCCAAAAAAAAATTGAGTGACCAAGACCACACATGCTCAGAAACAAAAGAATACATTTATAATACAATACAATAAAATACATTACATCACTTCCGAAATTGTATTCTGCCGTACGAGAATTTTCGTAACTTTGGTAACCTCATTTTCTATATGAGACTAGCATTCATCTGATTTTTTCATGCGGTGTATGAGGCTTAACACAGTGGGGTACAGGAGATGCCTGTAGTGACTGTCTGCAAGGATGGGAGACAGGATACTGGTGTAAGGATATACTGCACTGTATACTGTACTGTTTGAAGGCCAGTAGAGGAGACAGGATACAGGTACAGTAAAAGGCTGTGCTGCATTGTACACTGTATACAGGGGTAAGGAGAAAATTAAAAGCATGAAAAGAGGAACCCAGAGATATGCCAGCTGGCTGAAAAGGAAAATTAAAACGTTTAGTATGCAACTTTTCATATTTACCTGACTTAGATTATTTTAAAACTGGTATTTTTTTCAGTCCTGACCCTAAGAAATAAATGAAAGATGTACAGGACAATTCCACATTTGCTTTTTAATCATCATTGCCTTATTCAACTTTAAATCTTTACATGTGGCATCTGGGATGTCTGTTGATTCCATAGAAAACCAGTCACGGGTCTTGCAGTGACAGTTGGCATGGAGCTTCCTTATACCCAAGTAGCATTGTTTAGTAATGAAATGAGTGATCTACCTCTTATAAAACATAGAACTGCAATTTCAAAATGTACGTCAGGGCCATTGTTTGTCATAAGTGACTACTGGCAGGCTGATTAATTGATGTGGTTGGTGTTTCCGTGATTTTATAAAACATTGAAGTCAATGGGTTTTTTTTTGTGTGTACTAAACATAAGTAAGCCATTTACTGAGTAATATCAAAGACAGAAATTGATGGGTTGACGCAAATATATACAATGCACTGTAGAACAAATCAACTTTACTTAGAATTTCAGTATTCTGATCTATCAACATCTAAATTGAAGAAATGCTTGGGTTGACTTGACGGACTTTGTTTTTGCTACTTTATGAATTAAATAAATGTTGACGGTTGCTGTATAAGTGCATATACGGCTGTGTCTTATTTGCAGTGGCTACGATGTGAAGTTTGACCTTTTTCTATAGACTGGAGCATTTTAGGAGTATTTTTACACAAATTAGACTGCAAGGTTTAAGGTGGAGGGATTATTGATCACTCTTCATTGCTGCAATCCACCCCATCATAGCCATCTTGGGCAGTGCTTGGTTTTTCAAGGCCAGTGGTTGTAGAAGCCGAGAATTTAAAGGGATTCTTTGCCTTACCTATGAAGGGCAAAGAATCAGGTTCAGACCTCCACAGACTCACATTCTTACTCTTTCTTGTGCTCCCACTGCTCCATTCAGTCGTGAAAGAAAACCCTGTGCAAAATATGTCCTAGTTTACAAAGCGCTATGGTCTTCCCTGCCACAGTGCTGATTGGCCCAGACCTATCACACGGGTGACTTGCATGTTCCTCCTTACCCACAGACAGAGTATTTTTAGCTCCCAGCTCTAAATGGAGCTTTGAGTGGGAGCAAAAAAAAGTATATATTGCTGGGATGTAAGAATTAAATTTGTTGCTTCGTGCTGAATAGGCAAAGCAGAGGTTTGCTTTAAGCTCGGCCTAGGCATGGAACAGTTTGGTTTAAGGTGGGTCAAGGTGGCTTTCAGATATTGCAAAGTTTTGAAGATCGTTCAGATTGTTTAATTTTTTATGCAGTGCTCTAAGAATTATAATGACCTGTTTATAAATATCTGTGTTGGGGGGGTCTGTGAGTATTCGTCATATCTTTGTCACACTAGACTGCTGCTTAGAGCTTAATTGTGGATGACATTTTATTTGTCTGAAGAAGGTGGAGGTTGCTAGGCTATTGTCCTATTATCCTAAATTTGTGTAGCAATTACTAGCTTATCAGGGATTTTCAATGTAGCATTCAGAACGTTATCCATACCGGTTACCTGCATGCTACCCACTGTAGGAGAAGGACAGGACAGACACATCACTCCATGGGATGCTGCAGATATATGCCCTGCCTCAGCTTTAGTAAATTGTGGGAGTGTTGTATTGACTTCTAAAGATAGACTCCGCTTCAGACCTCGTTTTTGAAGCTCCTTGGATTCTACTTTATTATGTGTAATGCTGTTCATACAACTGTGGATCATATAATTTGGTTAAACCATATAGATGCTATCATGGGCTGATATCCAATTACTCCTATGATGCTGGTCAAAAAGCAGTGAATTTTAATTGTTTTTTTGTTTTTAAATTGTTAAAGATGTTTGAGATTTGATCATTTGATCCAACACAAATGCACCACACGATTATGTGGAAAACAGTCTGAACCTTATAGCCCATCGCATCACTTTCCTTTTCAATATCATCCCACAAAATCAACGGAAAGTGATCATGATGTTAATCCATTGTATGTATAGCCAACATTACTGGGGTTGTCAAGGTGCGTACTGCTTTATGGTTTTCTAGTTTCTGGGGAAGCTAAAATGTAAATCCAAATTTAATTTTGATGTGTCATGCAAGTTTGATAGCAATATACACTACATATACATATATTTATATACAGTATTTTATATACAAGTTTGTGAAATGTGGTGTTAAAATTGTGCAGCACAGAAGTCTTGGCAATTTTTAGTGATGTATCTTTGTTTGTCCTCATTCTCATGCATCAATATTGTACAGATAATGACTTTGGCTATACTGGGTGGCATGTTGTACCTCTGACTTTTTTTGTGTTTTGGTGCTTGTGTATACTAGTTATCCAAACATGCCAACATTTGTGTACAAAACTTGGGACAAAATAGACCATACCTAGCCTATCCAAACACTTGTGCGTACAGAGTCCACTCATGTATTGCTCAATATCATGGCAATTCTGGGAATTGGGGACTGTTGGCAAGCATGGACTCGGTATGAAAGAGGCATTATATGTAACCAGTCTGTGGCCAGAAGAGCTGCTCAAGGGAATGCTGCTCTTAGTGTGAATTGCCATTTACAGGTAATGACCTGCTGAATGTATTAAACTTAAACCTTCGGCTTAGACAGCTATACTTTTGATGCAAATCAAAACAGTGCACAAGTTCAGGAGGCCAGGCTGCCCTATGCTACAGATGATGGTATTTTCATGTCACAGCTTTGAATTTAAGAGGCTTTTCTACCAAAACACCAGACTAACCTGTAGTGTGTGGACTACCCTGAAGATGCAAGGACAAGACTATGTCAAACCGGCTTAGAGGAAAACCATTGCTTTCATGTGAAATAAAGTGTTTCGTTTTATTTTCTAATATATTTTTTACTACTATTTTCAGTCTATTTTGCTGTATTCAGTGCCTATTGTAGAGGATGGTCAGGCAGTTTGTTTAGATATGAGGAGTTACAGCTCAAGACATTTAGTTAATACGATGAATTCTTATGATGATCATGCAGGTTTTTCACCCTTAAAGTCTAGGTTCACCTTTCTAAGACAAAAATAATAATAAATGCACATATTTTTCCAGGAAAAAATGTGCATTAATTATTTTCCCTAAGGTGTTTTTCAGGACAGCACCTCTGAGAGAATTCTCTTCCTCTTAACCCCAGGAAACTCTGCATCTCTCAGTCTTTAAAAGGTGAGTCTCCCTTTGGCTCTTCAGTTCCAGTGTTTCCTTTGGCAGAGAGACACTGCATGAGAAGCCTGTGCTGCATTATGGTGCTGTAAGCTAATGTGGGTGAATTGTGTTTTACAAAAAACCTACTCTAGCCGCTATGGGTATTGCTTTAATGTCTGCCCCTTGGTGGGGAGTAAGACAGTTACCATCATGTTGCAACCCCAGCTTCCCCTTTCACTGGTGGCAGAAGTTTCAGGGATCCGCTCCCTCATTCTGTGTCTGGGGAGGGTCTTGACTGAAGCAGGTGACTTCTCCTTGTAGAGGATATTCCCTCTGCAGCCAGTGCTTTGTGGGTAATTCTGGCATTGGAACAGATTTTGGGTGACATCACTTCCAGGAGGGGTTGGGACTTCTTTCAGGTGCTATGGCTTCTGGTTTCTAGGCTCCAAACTGGTGCACTACTTTCGAGCTCACACAGAGGTGGTGAGAGACCGGAGTTAATTAAGACAGACCAATTTCTGGCCCTCTCCTCTATAGGATATCTTCCACTGTGTCCGAGGCAGAGACCCTGGTTGCAGCTGTAGCATCTGGCACCAGCCATTCTCGGGTAAGGGGTCCATTGGGGTGACTTTTTCCTAGTCTATCTTGCTTTTTCACTTCATCCACAAATAACATATACAAAAAAGGTGCAGTACTAATGTGTATCAGAGCAGAAGCAGCACAAAGCCGCAGGAAGTTGACAATGAAGCCACATAAAAAGATCTTCTCCCTGTGACATAGTATTTACCAAAAAAAATAAAAAATACGTTGGTGAATGTCCTCCATGGTAGTGCCTAGGTTGCCAGCTGAGGGATCCCACAGTTACCAATTGATTTGATTCACCCTAATCAGACCGGGGGCCAAGTGATGCCATGGAGAAGTTATACTTTTTTCAGAGGGATTTCCACATAGAGCCCAGCTGTACTGGATACGTATCCAA